CCTTCTAGGAGCCTCTACCCTCTGCTTTGGGAGAAGATCTTCTCTGCAACAACAGAACAAGAGAATAGCAGAGTTGGAAGGGATCTTGGAGGTCTTCTAGTCTGACCCCCTTGCTCAATCACAGTTCCTCCGAGATTGGAGGAGCCGAGAATGCACAGCCTGGAGGACAGAACGGCACGCTTGAAACTTAAACACCTTAATAAATATAGTCAGGGTGTGAATAAGGTCCTAAAATATGAAGCAAAAGGAAAGGACCCGGGGGTGTCACCTCAAACGGACGGGAGGGAGGTTCGGAAGTGATGCTAGAAAGTTGGGACATCGCAGAAAGAGTAGCGGAAGCTGAGAACCAACTTCCAGCAGACACGCTGGGTAAGTCCTAAAGAACCGGGTTCAAACATGCTTGGGATAAGCACCAGACCCTCCTGCAACAAAAAATTATTTAAAAAAAATAAAATGAACATAATGCATACATTAAAAAGAAAACAAACAACAACCCTCAACGGACAGATTCGATGGATCGCTATATCTTTTTCTGCCACCTATTTTCTCTGTTTCTCTAACGCCAAAGCATTGACGGGAGATGCTACTGAGAAAGTTGTGACTATGCTCCACATGAGATGTGTCTCTGTTTCCCCTTTGGCATATAATTCCTACCCTTGTTTTAGAACTGATTGCTGAAACCAAGGACAGCACGAACCAGGAGACTAAGTTACAGCAGACTGCCATCACAGTTCTTCAATGAATGAATGAATGAATGGATGAATGAATGAATGAATGAATGAATGAATGGATGAATGGATGAATGAATGAATTCTTTATTGGCCAAGTGTGATTAGACACACAAGGAATTTGTCTTGTGCAAATGCTCTTGGTGTACATAAAAGGAAAAGAGGCATTCATCAAGAATCATCAGGTACAACACTTAATAGTAGTCATAGGGTACAAATAGGCAGTCAAATCCTACTAGGAAACAGTTGATATAAATTGTAAGGATACAAGCGACAAAGTTACAGTCATACAGACACAAGTGGGAGGGGATGAGGGATAAGGAGTGATGAGAAGATTAATAGTAATAGTAGTGCAGACTTTGTAAATAGTTGGACAGTGTGGAGGGAATGATTTGTTTAGCAGAGGGATGGCATTGGGGAAAAAACTGTCCTTGTGTCTGGTTGTTCTGGTGTGCAACAATGCTCGGTATAATGTTATCTTGAGGGAAGGAGTTGAAACAGTTGGTGTCCAGGATGTGAGGGGTCTCTAGAGATTTTCACAGCCCTCTTTTGGACTCGTGCCACTCCTCCCACTTCAGAGTTCCCACCTGAAGATGACACGGTTGACATTCTGGAAGGACACTCAATTTTCTCAATCATCACAGACCACAAACAAACTACAATGACGCTTGGACATCCCTGTCAGTCGGATCTTCAGCGTGGGATTTTCCTTTGGTGCATGCTTGCTCTTGGCTGCCATAGTAATGGGGGGTGGGGGTGGGGGGTGGCATTTAGGTTTTGGGAAGTGAGCTGGTGAGATGAAGATTTTGCTCTCAAGAATCACTGCGCTGCCGAGTGGAATTGTTTATGTCCCGTTCAGGCCAACAGTTCTACCACTATAGATGGGCGAGAATACCTGAAGAAGAGGTGCTTCACAGGATATTATGCAGCCCTGGATTGGACATTCAGCCTGGGACCCTGGGGTGGGTGGGTGGGTGGGGAGGGATTTGGGGAAACTTTCAACCTGTAACTTTCGCCCCTTTTGAATCAGATCTTGCCTTGTTTTTGCTGCTACCATTTCAAGCTCCGTAAAATTACCTGTTCTCTAATTCAGTGGCATCCGGGAGTTTCCCTTCTTGGATTCTGACAATCCATAAGTCTCCAAAGGAATGTTCAACTTGCACTTGACTTCAACCCAGGACATGCCTGCTCCCTTTGCTCTTGAGAGCCCTAAAGGTCTTGGAAGGATGCTATCCTAGCTCTGAATGTAGGTCTATATCAATTTGGAATCAGGTCAATCAATCACTCAATCAGAATAGAGCTGGAAGGGACCTCGGAGGTCTTCTAGTCTAACCCTCTGCTCAAGCAGGCGACCCTATACAAGTGGCTCTCCAGTCTCTTCTTGGAAGCCTCCAGTGATGGAGCACCCACAATTTCTGAAGGCAACCTGTTCAGGGGTGGGATTCCAATTTTTTAACAACCGGTTCTGTGGGCATGGCTTAGTTGGTGAGTGTGGCTTGGTGGTCATGTTATTGGCAGGGCGTGGCCAACACAATATCACTCACATCGAGGCACGCATCTCCTCGCCTGGCCTCTCGTGACTGTGGGGATGCTGCAACTGTCATAAGTGTGAAGAACGGTCATAAGTCACTTTTTTCAGAGCCATTGTAACTTTAAACAGTCACTCCACACAAGCAAAGTACCAGCAAAGGAGGGGAAAACACTGCAGAGAAGTTCCTGAGACAGGGAGTCTAGTCCTGCCAAGAATGTAATAAGGGTTAACGGAGAGGCAGTTTCTGTAAGCAACACCAGAATGTTTCCTTCCTGTCTTCCTTACAGGATTAGCCCTGTAATTTCTTCTGACAACCGGTTCTCCCAACTGCTTAGAATGTTAACATCCGGTTCTGGTGAATAGGTGCCAACTGGTAGAATCCCAGCCCTGAACCTGTTCCACTGGTTAATTGTCTTCCCGGTTAGGAAAGTTTCTCCTTAATCCCAGGTTGCTTCTCTCCTTGATGAGTTTCCATCCATTGTTCCTTGCCTTGCCAAGACCCCTTTCCAGCTCCACTCTGATCGATTGAGTTGCTCAAGGAAATCAACAAAGTCTAATTGAATTTTTGAAGAAGCACCTTTGAGACTTCTGGAAGGGCACCTTGGTCAGAGCTTTTTCCAATCAAAGCTCCAGGAAGGATGAAAAAGGCTGGATTGTTGGGGTCTCTACTTGCTGCCCCCTGAAAGAGAAGAAGGTCTTTGACATGTCTGAGACCCCCCACCCCAAGTGGAGATTCCTGGGTGGAATTAGATATCTAGGAATTCTTGGTTCCACCCCTGTTCACTTGCCCTCCCAAGAAGAGATCCCTCCAATGCCTCCCCAGGATGCTTAGGAGAATCTTGGAAGACCACAAACTGTCTCACCTTGGCTGGTTATCTCACCTGTTGAAGACCAGCTGTGCTTGAAGCCGAATCATGCCGTCCCAAAGTTCTTTCACAGGTGGGGTTGAGGTGCAACCAGACTGGGAGTGCCACATCCAAGCGTCTGCCCACGGAGCGAGGAGGGAGGTGTTGAGGAGCTCATTCTCACAACAGGTGCAATTCTCGTAGTTTGTGCCTTATCCGTGACAGGTGATGCCCAGGGGGGAAAAGGTGCCTCGATTAGTTAGGAGGGCAGGGAGAAAAGTCCCTCTGGGGCAAAACTCCCACCTGGGACTTGTTAGCTGGCACAGGGTTCACTTAGTTGTACCAGGGTGGGGGACGCAGCGGAAGGAAGAGAGCAAAACTGACTAGCTTTGTTATGCCTGGAAACCTAGCTAGTCAGCAAGAGAAATCAGAATTCAGGTCTCACTGTGGTTTGTAGCTGGTGTTCTAGAAATGAATCCAAGGGGGTTTTATATAATGCAAGACATTTAAATCCCCCCTTTCTCTCCCCCTACCACCTTCCTTCCTTCCTTCCTCCCCTCCCTCCCTCTCACTCTCCTTCCTTCCTTCCTTCCCTCCCTCCCTCCTTCCTTCCTTCCTTCCTCCCTTTCTCTCACCTACCAACTACCTTCCATCCTTCCATTCTTTATTTCTTCCTTCCTTCCTTTTCCTTCCTTCCTTCCTTCCTTCCTTCCTTCCTTCCTTCCTTCCTTCCTTCCTTCCTTCCTTCCTGCCTGCCTGCCTTCCTGCCTTCCTTCCTCCCTTTCTCTCACCTACCTTCCTTCCTTCCTTCCTTCCTTCCTTCCGTCCTTCCTTCCTTCCTTCCTTCCTTCCTTCCTTCCTTCCTCCCTTTCTCTCACCTACCTACCTGCCTACCTTCCATCCTTCCATCCTTCCTTTCTTCCTTCCTTCCCTCCCTCCTTTCTTCCTTCCTTCCCTCCCTCCCTCCCTCTCTGCTTTCTTCCTTCCTTCCTCCGTTTCTCTCACCTACCTACCTACCTTCCATCCTTCCATTCTTCCTTCCTTCCTTCCTTCCTCCCTTTCTCTCACCTACCTACCTACCTACCTACCTTCCATCCTTCCTTCCTTCCTTCCTTCCTTCCTTCCTTCCTTCCTTCCTTCCTTCCTTCCTTCCTTCCTTCCTTCATTCTCCCTCCCTCCCTCCCGAGGAAACAATACAATAAAAATTAAAAGCAAGCGATAAGGGGAGTTTATATTGAACTTGTATTGAACTTGATGTGTCAAACTTGATTCTATCTCTCTGTTAATGCAACCTAGGATTGCATTGGCCTTTTTGGCTGCTGCCGCACGCGGATGTCTCATATTTAAGGGATTGCCCACTAAGATTCCAAGGTCCCTCTTCCTTTTACTCTATTAAATCTGGTTTCACCCAGTCAATATGTGTACTTTTGATTTTTCTTTCCTAAGTGCAAGATCTTACTTTCCTCTACACTGAATTTCACTTTGTTGGATAGGGTTCAACGTTCAAATCTGTCGAGATCCATTCGGATCTTGACCCTATCATCTATTCATGCCAGCTTAGTGTTGTCTGCAAAGTTTACGAGGTTTTAGCTAGGGCTAAAAACAACCCCTCATTTTTAAGCTAAAGGTAAGA